TCAATAAAACAAAAAAAATGTAAAATACTATTTGTCTACTGGATCCTAAAGTTAAATATACCACTATGGAAAGCATCTATCATTTAAAAAACAACACAGGCATTCAGAAAGCAGATATGAAGCTTTAATTTACTGTGAGCATTTCTATGACCATTCTCTTTATTATATACAAACATATATGTCTACAAACAAATACATCTTTTATAAGACAGTTTTCCTACCAAGTACTGTGCACCATACCAATATTCCATTTAACAAGTTAAGGGAATATTATAAATACCATGAACCACTGATTAAATATAAATACAGAGGTTGAATGCATATGCTAGAAAGTTTAAACAATAAAAAAATTTAAGGCTAAATACCATGAAAGTTTACATGTATTCTTTAATTCTAGTTATTATATCAGTGACAACCAATTACAATAAAATCACAACTTCTTTTAGATGATAGTATATTTGGATTCTGATAGCCAGTTGTTCTCATTTCCACAGTGACAATATCCACATTGTGCATTTTCATTTCTATAGACAGACCAGCTTTCAGACTGCACACTGAGCTTCTTGTGTAATAGTAAGAATTACCATCTTGATCATGACCACAGGAAACCAAACGTATATACACTGTATGATGTAAATGAGACTTTATTAAGAACATAATATGGCACTCTTCTGTTCAAGAGGAATTCAAATAGTAGCTAAAAAGGGGTCTTAACTACTACCACAGTCCACATATATTTCATTAATAGATGGAAGTCTCTGCCAAAACATCTAAAAGTAAATATATAGTATAATCTTTTTCCGCCAAAATATTGCCTGGAAAAGTTTCAAGCTAACTTAAAAAAATAAAAATAAAACTCAGTAAACAAACATTATATGATGCTCTGAGCTGCAATCTTCCTGAGTCTATTTTCAACTGGAAAAAAATTAGCAGCCAGTAATGCATTGCTTCAGTATCCACAGCCCAGAGGGAGCCCTTGAACATTTAGTTCATATTCTACCAAAAATCTGAAAAGGACTCCTAAACACCCCCCCAACTACTTACACAATGGAAAGCTGATGTTTTATATTAAAATTTATATGGATATAAAACACAGTCTTTTTTTTTAAACAGTGATGCTAGAAAAAGCAAAGAAAAATATGCACAAGCTGTACACAGATCACCATTAAACACAGGAACAAAATGCCATTTGATGCATATCAAACAAGCTCCCAAAAAGCCAATCTGAATATATTTATTTTCATTTACTTTGATACAGCATCTAGAAGAGATTGCACATAATTAGGGAGACTGCTGCAAACAACACTTGATGCTATTAAGTGTTCATTTAAGCATCAGGCATGCACAATAGTTACCTTTTTAAAATTTTTCATGTATTACCTTAACATTCCTATTTATAAGCTACAATATTTAAAGCACTTCGCAATTTTTAAACCAAGTATTTTCACTGACCTAGGGAAAAAATAAAAACTCTTCCTCTCCCCCTTCTCAGTACTGGATGGTAATATTAAATCTCACTCCCCAAACTGATATTTAAATGTGTATATATGTATATATATATATACACACACACACACATATGTATATATACACACATATATATGTATATACTTTATCCTTAAAATTCCAAAAGGGATGGAAATTGTTATCATTACTAAATTAGAAAGTATGATTTCCAGCAGCAGTCTACTCACCCCACACTCACAGCATGCCAAGCCTTTGGGGATTACATGATAGGAGTGATGTGCTGGTGGCTACAGATGGCGATAATGGAACATACCAGTCTCCCCTTTGTATTCTGCATCTTTTTATTTCGAACTAAATAAAGCTTTTCATTAATACAAACTAAAAATTGTTTTTTAACATCAGTATAAGAGTAGATAAAACTAAAAATCTTTATTGTCTTCAAGTGTGTGGCAAAATACAAAATAGTTAAATTACACTAGGAAATCAAGGGTAGGGAAGGGAACAGAGTTTGTTCTTACATGTAATGAGCATTTCGGTGAAATTATCACTAAAGCTTACAAGTTCAGACTGCTTGGTTCTTGGTCATTTATGGCTTAAGTACTGGATTAGAAAACCATTTCAGGCTAAAATAAATTCTGATGAATAATGCATAGATTGTATATCTAGGAAATCATGCAATAAATATATAAATGTTACTGTCTACATTAGAATCTTAATGAAGAAAGGGGTCTGCAGGTGTGGGCAGTAATGTTTCTTCCCTTTCACCATGAGAACATGCCCAGTAAAATACTTGCTTTTAGCCTATTCAAAATCCTATCTGCCAGGTCATCTTGATTTTCTCAGACTGGTAGAAGTCAGTGTCTTGAGACATCTACAATAAGGGGTGCCTCAGGTGTAAGTGGTGGGAAGTCCAAGCTAGGCAGAGTTAGACTCTCATGATCCTGCCAACCTCCTGCAAAGTCAATTTGGAGTACCTGACTAGCTGGAGTATCAAATGGACAAATACTTAGAATGACCCACGGCAATGTTTATGATATCCTGTTTCAATCTACCTGCCCTTTAAATGTATTTCATCTGAGAACTGCCAGAGTAAAATACATTCACTATTCCTGGTTTTGATATGCCCCTACGACATGAGAATTGAACTGCACAACGATGATTGTAATGTCATCTCTGTACATCCGAGCAAGCTCTTCAGGAAGACTAAGCATTTTGGAGAGGCGCTCATGATCAACTGCTCCAAACTCATTGTTGCCCACAGCATGGCGAATGAGATGGGTTGCTGCATTCTGATCCTCAAATACTGAGGACATCTTGGCTCTCCTTTCTGTTAAAAGGCCATGCATCTGTCCCAGAGTCACCTTGTAGCCACCAACAGCTATTGGCTGTTGGTGATGCATGCCAGTTAGGTACTCACCCACAATTCTAACCACATCCTGCCTATGCATAGTCTCCCATAACCCATCAGTAGCCAACACCAGAAACTTATCCTGTGGCCTTAATCGGTGGTAAGTTACCTCTGGCTCAGCAGTGAGATAAGGAGGTGTATAGTAATTAGGAGGGATAAACTTGGTATATTCATTGTCATTCAACTGGTCTGGGCCAGATTCTATCACTCTCTTTTGAAGGTCAATGCTCCATTTGAACTTGACATCTCCAAAAGCTCTAAAAGGCATCAGCAAGCCAAGCAGCCGATCCTGCTTCACCACACTCTTAGCCTCATTCTTCGGGTGTTCCAATTTCAGCCGTTCTAGTTCTCTTTGATTCTGAGCATTGTGGTCATTAGACAGAGTGACTGCTGACCAAGAGCCGTCCTCTTCCTGCACACCCAGCATGGCTCTGCTATCACCTGTATTGGCCACATGAAGGTCAACACCATCCACATGGGCCACACAAGCAGTGGCCCCAGAAAATGCCACTCGAAGCACCAGGTAGTTGAGGAAAGAATTGGGATCACCAACTTGGGCCTCCAAGGAGATGTCATTATCAAGCCTCTTGAAAGCATTAATTAAAGCCTCCTTAACATCAATATCAGTTGACTCCCCAGTATTGAGGTCTATAAGCTCTTGCCAGTAAGTCCTCAAGCTGTTGAAGTACAATTTGGATGCCTCCTTACTGAAGTAATCATTAGGATGCTTGTGCCACTGGAGAATGGGTAACAGTGCTCGACCACTCTCCACTGCATTTTCAATCTCTAACAAGGTCTCGTGGGGCAACAAAGAGACAGCGATATAATAAAAGAGTCTTTCACTGACCGCCTGGGAACAAGCACAGCCTGCATGGCCATCAAAAACTCCCAAGAGCATTCCTCTGGTCTGCAAGCACGTTGCTGCACTTCGCCGGTCCTCGATAGGTGCGTTTGCAGGCAGCTGGTTGCTGTCAAATCCAAGGACAGAACTGACATTTTTGCCATCAAATTCTGGCACCTTGAAACTATATTCATTAGCTTTAAGAATGCTGTTGACCTGTGGAGGTGTGAGGTAAAATTTCTGTGGTGTGGAAGCATATCTCCTTCCTTGGGTGTATTGCCACCAGTTCTCTTTTGGCCTGCAAAACGTAGCATATGCTGGATGGGGTGTGTATCTCAGGCGACTCTGAGGAACATGGGGTGATAAGCAGCAGATGTGTTTGTGGTGACAATAACACACAGTGCTATAGATTCTGCTCAGTTCACAGTTACGGATTAGGGGAAAAAACAATTGAGTTGGTGCTGGCATGGCATCAGAAAATAACGGCAAGCTGGAAGTTCTGACTGGGATTCCTAGACAGCAAATTAGACAAATACACACAAAGAAAAAGGGTTACAGTTGAGATCACTTAAATCTATCCTTGCTTTTAATAAATATTTAGCAGGTAAATCTACATGCTAGGTCCTTTGCTAGGAAGCACTATATTTTATACACTTACCATGTACTATTTCTAGAAGATATATTCTGCTAAATGCAACTCCCAACCATTTATGGAGCCAGGACTGAACTGTAGTCTAGCTTCACTTTTCTTTTTCCTTCCTATTTCATTGTGCACTACAAACTGTGCAGAATGTACAATAAATTTAGCTGGGGAAAGGAGAGGAGATGAAGGTTATATAACATTATGCAACAGCAGTCTACCTGGCCAATCATCCTTCTCCCTTTCTATCCTTAGAAAAGGCCTTGGATCTCCCATGTTACACAGGGATTTCTCCTATTTATGAAGATCCTGTTTCTAGACCCATGGTTGATCATTAGCATTTGATTCCACATGGCTATCAGGAAAAAAAGTGTTAAGATGCACTCCCCACACATGTATATTTATAAATTATTTGTAAGTGATATGCATATAAAAAAATCAAAATAACCAAACCAGTTGCCGCCTAATCAATTCCGACTCCTAACAACCCTATACTACTGTATTCATGTAATGTTCATCATAACACATACAGAAAATAAATTTTTAAATAATGAAATAGCAAAAGAAATTCCAATTTCCTTCCTATACCCCACCGGATGGCCATGCAAACCTTGTTTCTCGAGACCACTGCACCGATCTGGCCCACTAAGGGATTCAAATCTGCCACTAACTCGCTAAACAATCCTGGAAAGCCAGCTCACCTCTTTGAACCTCAGTTCCTAAATTTAAGTGAACAGATCAGAGTAGATGCTATCCAAGGCCTCTTCTAACATTATATGCCTTTATTAGTTTTTTGTTTTTCCGAGTCTTGAAATCAAATGCAGGTTTCATTTATTCACTGTTTAATTATACTATGCACTTCATGATAAAAAAAATTTAAATATTCTAGAACTCTAAATTTTGTTAGTAATGTAAATGGTCTCAGAAATTTAATTTACTTGCTAGCACTGTCCCTATTTATTAGCTATAAGGGAAAGCTATAGAATTATTATTTTCATCTACTATGAATCTCAAGTAGAATTATCTACTAGAAAAATATTTTCTCTTTCATTTAAAAAAAGGGTATT